CTCCAACTACCGACTAACTAGATCTGGGCCGACAAACCCAAAACCCTCTCCCAAGAGCAACACTACCAGGGCCTGCGGCCATCGGCTCACTCAACACAAGTCGACGATCACAGCAAAAAATGGTCGGAGCCGAACACCGCCTCTGCCGACTGACCCACCAACCCAACCCAATACCAGGACACGGAAGGAGTACATGGGAGAAAAAGGAACCCTGGCGTAGACCCAACCACTGCCAGAGCAGTAGACGACACCAGCCACCGCAACACCACCGTCGGCCCTACGGACACCTCACCTAACCCTTGCCATGGCCACCCAGAAAACGTGGAACGCGCCAGGCCGAAAGAGGATCTGCCGAACCACCTTGAGAATCGCAACTGGCCCAGAGGTTGTTTTTTAGGGTACTTTTGTAATACAATTGTAAGCATTAGAAACTTGATGATTGTTTTTATGTCACATCAGTTGTGTGTGTACATAGTATTTGTTTATAACAAAGAATTACCGAATGTGAGATTGTAGTGACTATGAACACAACAAAAAGTTCGGCTAAAATAGTATCCTTCACTTTTAAGTGTTATGTTCATAACTAATTAATTACAGTTCTTTTTTTTTTTTATCGAGTGGATACAGTTTAATGTATTTATACAAACTTAAAATGAAAATACAATGATTACATCAAGCTCAAAAACACACACAAACGCAGATAGCCGATGATGAAGAGAGAAATGGTTTTTCGGCTTTTCAGCACAAAATGCAGAACTCAATATCTCGAGAAATCAATATTTATCTTCTATAGAGTTTTTCACTTATTCAAGTAATCGAGAGTCTTCGAAGTTGAGTCGTCGACTAAAAGGAGAGGATAGGTAGCTCTTTCAAAGGAATCAGTCAATCAAAAGCTCAAGAAGTGAAAAACACACTTCACCTGTCCCGCCATTTCGACAAACCATAGAGAAATCCAAAAAAAAAAGAAAACCGGGTTCTTGAGCACATAAATTTTGTGTTCTAATGTCTCATGCTTGTGCTCTGCTTTTGTGAGGAGTTTTCACACGTTTGCTTGCTTTTCTTTTTTCGTTCTCTTTATTCTTGTTTTTCTTTTTTCTTGAAAGACTGCTAAACTTCATAGTCTTCATGTTGCAAAAGCAGTATCCACGGGCTTTAGTTTAGTCTATATAGATAAGATAGCTTGGGATTTGACATTTTATCTTTTTTTTTTTCAGAATAATATAGATATTTTCTATGAGCAAAAACAGTTGGACAAGTGGTTGTGATTGGAATTTTTTACGGAAAATAAAAAAAATTGGT